TGTTTTTAACATCTCAAAAGACACCTGAAGTTTATCTTTTTTCCATCTACGCTCAGCTCTCCTGCACAGGCGTCTTGCCTCTCGTGTAGTCTCATTTACCCAAGGGTGGGGCGTGCATTTTCGATTCCTGAGCTTTAACGGGGCGACTGAGTCCAGGATCTGTACACACGCCTCCTGATGCTGAGAAAGCAACTCCTTTGTAGTAAGACCCGCAGAGAGTTCAGAGTCTGAAACAGAATTACTAGCAAAAATGGAAGAGAAGAGTGTGGCAGTGGAAGGGTTAAAAATTCTACAGGGCTTGGGTGTGGGGGGAGGTGCAGGTTCACAAATCAAAGAGGTGTTGAATAAAACTGGTTTGTGGTCGGAACAAACAGTGTCACCAATTTCCAAATCAGAAACAGACAAACCATGTGTTAAAACTAAGTCAAGAGTGTGGCCCTGCTGGTGAGTTGGACCAACAACACTCTGAACAAAGTTAAAATACTGGATGAGGTCTAGAAAGTCCTGAGCTAATGGTTTATCAGGGCAGCACACGTGGATATTAAAATCTCCTAAAATCAAAACCCGATCATATTGGAGCAGAACACCAGTTAGAAAGTCAGATAGTTCATTTAAAAAATGTTTATGGTATCCGGGGGGTCTGTAAAAGATAGCACACAGAACTGGGTTGGAGCGGCTTAGCTCACAACAGAGCAGTTCAAACCTCAAATAATTAGCTGAACCATGGAGCTGTCTGCAGTGGAAATGTTTCTTAAAAACAGCCAATAATCCTCTACCACGACCAGTTGTCCTTGGAGCATTGAAAAAAGAACAATCCGGAGGCAGTAATTCCAGAAAAACACTGAACTCACCAGGGCAGATCCAAGTCTCAGTGATGAAAAGAAAGTCCAGTCGGTTGCAGCAGAAAAAGTCGTTCAAAATAAAAGTTTTATTAGCCAATGATCTGGCATTTATCAGGGCCATCCTCGTAGAATCCACCACAGGAGGAGATGATTGCAGTGTCCAGTCCAGCGGCCTCAGATTTGCAGAGTTAGACGTGCACCTCCGGCAGGAAACCCAGCCGTGCACGAGCCCAATGTGATGATGAGACCCCGACAGCGGTACCAGATGGCGCGCCACAGGATCTGTACAGCGCCAGGATCTGTACAGCGCCAGGATCTGAGGTGGAAACGTTGACCATCAGATGGAGAGGATGATTCAGAGGCAGCAAGCAGGGCTTTAAGCTTCACCAGCCGGCCAGCGTGTTTTCCACAGCGTCTGGGGCGATGTCTCCGGGGAGGCAGGTGCGCGGCTCGCTGCAGGTAAACAGGCACGTCCGCCAGCAGCGGGGGGACGGGGGGGGGGGGGGGGGGTCCAGAGTTACACTCATATTGATCAACATAAACGACATTGGTGCCACAAAGTCGAAGATCCAAAAGTTGTTTTCGTTCATGCACCAGCAGAGAGTTGATGTCAAAGATGAGAAATGCAAAAAACACCAATAATACGAACACCATCAGGTGAGGTGGATTGCAAGCCACGTACACAGGCGCCATCTTACCGGAGTGCACTATTTAGTGCACTATGGGTTTCCAGAGTGTCTGTTGAGTGATCAAGGCAGAGACATTTAGTCTCAACCTATTAATTAGTACTGTGTACTCTAGTTGGCTTCACAAAAGTCCGAACCAGTCCCTATCACCCGAGGAGAAATCCGGTTGAAAGGTTCAACCGAACCCTTCTTTCTATGCTCGGAACCCTCAAGAACAAAACAAAAGTCATTGGCGTGATTTTGTGAAACCACTAACCCATGCCTACAATTGTACCAAAAGTGAGGTGACAGGCTACAATCCCTATGAAATGATGTTTGGGCGGCAGCCCCGACTCCCAATTGACATCTCCTTTAACTTACTCGTCAAAGATGGTTCTCCAAAATTTCACTTTCAGTATGTGAAAAACCTGAAAGCATGCCTGGAGGAGAGTTATCAAGTAGCCAGCAAAAATGCCCAAAAGGTTGCCGACCGGAACAAGCATCGATTTGACAGAGCAGTGAGAGAATCAACCTTGGAAATCGGTGATCAGGTTTTAGTCAGGAACCTTCGTCTGCGCAACAAACATAAACTCGCAGATAAGTGAGAGCCGATGGTATACACAGTTCTTACTAAAGTATCAGATTTACCTGTCAACTTCTCAAACTCAGCCTTCCCAGCCTGAGCCTAAGGTCCTTGACTTACCTGATCCTTTTCAAACCGCTCCTGAACCAGCTGAGCAACAGCCTTATGAATTAACAGTTAAGGAAAACCTAAGTGGAGGAAATATCCTGATGCATGCTCAATAATCCAGGTAGAAAAATCTAAAAAAGTTAAATCTGGTCCTCTGGACATTCAAAAAAAAATAATAATAAAAATGTATGTGGTGTATGTGGTGTTCTGAGCTGCCTTTAGTTGGCAGCTCAGAACACCACATACAGAACACCATGGACTTTGTGGACAAGGTGAGGGATGTCATCATGGAGACTGATGAAACAATGGTCTCTTTTGATGTCACATCACTTTTTACGTGCATTCCTGTTGATGATGCAGTAGAGGTGGTCAGTTTAAAATTAAAATCAGACACCACTCTGAGCAGCAGGACCACACTTTCCACAGAACAACTGTGTCAACTCTTGAAACTGTGCCTGCAGTCCACCTACTTCACATATGGGGAGCAATATTAGAGGCAGAAACATGGGTGTGCTATGGGGTCTCCACTTTCTCCTATTGTTGCCAACCTG